TATCAGTGTTTGTAGAATGGACAGGAGAAAAATTGGAGTCATAGGATAGAGACGCAGCATAAAGATCTTTTCTTGTTTGTGAAGAATTACTCTACAATCTCTGTCCTTACAACATCCTTACCATTTCTTTGTCTCGGTATACAGGCAATTTTTCTTTTCTTTTCCTCCTCTGCATACCTGCTGTTCGTAGGTGTTTGACCTCATCAGTTAAGTCACATAGGAATGCGTTATTAATGAAATTATGATTTACTAATAGGACACTCCGGGGGATAGAATGATTCAGCAGATGTTCCGTCCTTGATTTTATGTCACTTTCAACCTGACAATAGAAGAACATCAGAAGGAGGAAAACACAAAACCAGCCACTGGACTCCATGTACTCAGCAATCAGCCAGAGAGGAAAATTAAACGATAATGGCTCTAAAATATAAGTGTGGTTAGGTACGTAACCTCAGGCATGTCTTAAAAAGTCAGAATAAAAAGATCATAAAGGAAAAAAGTAAAAGCTATGTTCAGTAAAACTCCCCAGGAACCCAGACTAAGGGGAAAATGCCATGCTCTTTTTTTTTTAAATGTACAGTATACCTGTATTCTCCAAAAATACTTAAAAGGAAAGCAATTTTCTGTAATTTTATTATTTTATTATAGTCTTGATTAAAAAAAATACTATTTTCATTGTGCTTTAATCACATAAATATGACAAAATGCATATGGATGTTTTGTATTATCTATCTAGCTATTGGCTGTTTTTCATGTGTTTGTTAGACTTTAGACTTGCTGTTTACAAAGTGCATCAGCTCAAGCCGAAATTTTATACACACAATTCAAAGATCCAGAGAAGTGACCCCCACCCCCACCCCATACACACACACACTTTCCCTCACTGTTCAAATAGACATGTAGGGCATTTCAATCAGAGCTGGAAAGTCCGAAGGCAAGCTGCTTTGCTGCTCTCTTACTTTCTGTAAAATTAAAAAAAAAAACAAAGGCAATATTTATTATTTTTTTCTTGGAAAGCAATTCCAAAAAAATGGAAGTCAGCTGTGGCTCCCACCTTGGTTTTTTGTAAGTCCCTTGTAAACTCAGTTCTCCCATTATACAGTATAAGGCTACACATGAATCTAGAGGTTGCCCCAAATTCACCAAAGGACAGAGCACATGGCTCACCTCAAATTATAATAATATGCATGCTGATGATAAATACTTAAGTCAATCCTGAATGACTGCAGTCCCCTCATTGGTAGGGGAAGGAACGATGTCCTTATGTACTGAATGCGTAGGTGGGAGAGAGGAAATGCTTCTTTATAGCCATCTATGCAAGCTATTAACCTTGAATACAATCTACCAAGAATCTGACTAATCTAGTGAACCTGAGTGTACTTGACTGCTATATAATAATTCAAATACATAAAGCAAAGACCAATTTCAGACTTTAGAGGCACTGCGACAAAAATATTTAAAAAAACACTTTATTATAAGAATGTATACCATACACATCAGTTACATACAGTATTATTATTATTATACAGTATTTATAAAGCGCCAATAGTTCGCTCAGCGCTGTACATTACAAAGGGGGACAGAACATGTGACAGAACAAACAACCAATACAATGCAAAACATGAGGGGATTGAGGACCCTGCTCTTTCAAGCTTACAATCTAGGAGGGAGGGGATGGTGGCACAGGAGAAGATAGCTGTGGGGGATGGAGTGGTAGGAAGAGTGGAGGAGGTCGGCAAGTTAGCAGGGGGTGGAGGTAGGCTTCCCTGAAGAGATGGGTTTTCAGGGTGCGCCTAAAGGAGAGGAGAGTAGGTGATAATCTGATGGGTTGGGGCAGAGGATGGGTGACACCCTGCAGAAGTCCTGGAGGCGGGCATGAGAGGAGGAGACCAGGGAACTAGAGAGAAGGAGGTCTTGTGAGGAGCGGAGTGTGCGTGCTGGGCGGTACTTTGATATTAGGTCAGTGATGTAGTTCGGGGCAGTATGGTGGACAGCTTTGTACGTCAGTGTTAGGATTTTGAATTTGATCCGTTGCGCAATCGGAAGCCAGTGGAGGGATTGGCAAAGGGGGGTGGCGGAAACGGAGCGGTTGGAAAGGTGAATGAGTCTGGCAGCCGTATTCAGGATGGACTGAAGCGGGGATAGCCAGCGGCGAGGCAGGCCAGTGAGGAGGGAGTTGCAATAGTCGAGTCGTGATATGATGAGGGAGTGGATAAGCTGTTTAGTGGTTTCTGGGGTTAGGAACGTGCGGATTTTGGCGATGTTGCAGAGGTGGAGCCTGCACGAGTTTGTTAAAGATTGGACTTGGGGCTGGAAGGATAGGTTGGAGTCCAGAATGACACCAAGTACTCTGGCCTGCGGGGCGGGTTTGATAGTGGCGTTGTTGGACGTGATGGAGAAGTCAATGGGGGGTGGTGTCTGGGCTGGGGGGAAGACAAGAAACTCGGTTTTGGAGAGGTTCAGTTTAAGGAAGTGGAGTGACATCCAGTCTGATATGTCGCTCAGTAGGTGTGTGATTCGGGCGGAGACCAAGGGGGTGAGGTGGGGGGTTGTACATGTTGTTCCACTAAGAATACAAGACTCCCATAGAGGGGGATAGGGTATTCTATGCTGGTTAGAAAATTCTTCAAATATTTTTCTTATTAAATTTGACACAAATGTACCGCATCCCGGTAAAGATATCAAAAGACATAAATCGAATGTCGATATGGGTAATCACATAGTAGTTACTGGACATGTTTCGCGACATTATAATTTCTTCAGGAGTTACTACATAGAGAAAAGAATTGAATATAAGTATAACATAATATCAAATATTATAGAATTATTTATGAATAGAAGACTTAAAAAATACCTTGAGGTATCGGTTACAGAGCAGAACGTGTGTCAGGATAGATGATGATAACGCATGGATCAAAAGTGTTTTGAAAACAACCCTTCTATGGGGACTGCCAAGTGGTGCCCTATCCTTATGGGATCCCCCTGCTGCCTTGCATGACACACTTTTAATCCATGCATTATTATCATCTATCCCGACACATTCTGCTCTGTAACTGATACCTCAAGGTATTTTTGAAATCATATATTCACAAATAATTCTATAATATGGGATATTATGTTATACTTATATACAGTTCTTTTCTCTATGTAGTAACTCCTGTAGAAGCGATAATATCGCGAAACATGTCACGTAACTATAGACTAACTACTATGTGATTACCCATATCAACATTCGATTTATGTCTTTTGCAGGGGCGGACTGACCATTTGGAAACTTGGACCATTTGGAAACTCGGGCACTGCCCAAGGGCCCGGGTCAGTAGGGGGCCCCATGAGATGCCCCTGGTACCTTTTTCATAGGCTTTTTTGAGTTTGGGCAAGGACACAGGGGCCCCATGATCCCCTATTGCCCGGGGGCCCCATGAGTTGTCAGTCTGCCCCTGGTCTTTTGATACCTTTACCGGGATATGGTAAATTTGTGTCAATCTTAATAAGAAAGAATACTTGAAGAATGTTGTAACCAGAATAGAATACCCTACCCCTCTATATGGGGAGTCTTGTATTCTTAGCGGAACAACATGTATGTAACTGATGTGTATGGTATACATTCCTATAATAAAGTGTTTTTAAAAATATTTTTGTCGCAGTGCCTCTAAAGTCCACAATTGCCCTTTGCTTTATGTGTTTGAATGTTACAGGACGTGGCACATAGGAGCCTATTATATGCCCCTACAGTTGGTCACTCTGTACAGGATATTTATTCATGTTATTACTTGACTGCTATGTCTCCCCATTCAGTGGTGCAACTGCAATTCTTTATTTTTATTGTACCTTGAGCCATGCCTCAAATGGCTATGTTTTGTACTTAACCTCAAACTTAATAAAAAGAATGTAACCACTTGAGCTCTGGAAGGTTTTACCCCCTTCATAACCAAGCCGTTTTTTTTGCTGTTCAGCACTGTGCTGCTTTAACTAGCAATTACGTGATCATGCAACACTGTACGCAAATTAAATTTTTATTTATTTAATTTATTTCAGGTACTTATATAGCGCTGTCAATTTACGCAGCACTTTACATATGTATTGTACATTCACATCAGTCCCTAACCCTCAAGGGGCGTACAGTCTAAAGTCCCTAATTTACATTCATACATACACATACTAGGGCCAATTTAGACAGGAGCCAATTCACCTCCCAGCATGTCTTTGGAGTGTGGGAGGAAACCAGAGTACCCGGAGGAAACCCACACAGGCACAGGGAGAACATGCAAACTCCAGACAGGAGGTGCCGTGGCTGGGATTCCAACCAATGACCCTAGTACTGTATTGCCAGGCAGAAGTGCTAACCATTTAGCCACTGTGCTGCCCATTTATAATTTTTTTCACAGAAATAGAGCTTTTTTTTTGTGATATTTGATTACTTCTTGGTTTTTTTGTTTGTTAGTTTTATTATATAAAAAAAATCATATAAAAATTTTTAAATATATAAATATAAAATATATAAAATATAAAATATAAATATATAAAATAAATAAATATAAAAATACAAAAATATATAAAATCTAAAACATAACATATAAAAATACAAAACATATATATTCTTCTTTCTGTTCTAAAACATATACAATAAAAAATAGAAAAATCCAAATTTTACATAAATTTAGGCCAAAATGTCTTTGGTAAAACAAAATGTCTGCGTGTCTGCATGTCTTTGATAAAACAAAAAAATACCAATAAGTGTATATTAACTTCTTGCCGACCGCGCATAGCCGAATGACGGCTTGACAAACCGCAGCTCCGGCCAGTTCTGAGTGGACGTCATATGACGTCCTCCCAGAACGCGCTCTCCTGCGCGCCCCAGGGGGCGCGCAACCCGGCGATCTCCGTGATCGCTGTGTCCTACGGACACAGCTGATCACGTGATGTGGTGAAAGGCCGATCCCACCGGCCTTTTACCACGTGATCAGCGGTGTCCAATGACACGCTGATCACAGGGAAATGCAAGTGCCGGTTCTCGGCTGCACTTTCCTCACGCTGTCAGATCGTGAGGAAAGTACTGCCGAGAACCGGCAGTTGTCAGAACGGGGATCGGCACCGATCATCAGGGCACTGATGATCAGTGCCCTGATGATCGGTGCCCAGCAGTGACACCCGCAAGTTCCGCCCAGCAGTGCGCCCACTAGCCCCGCCCACCCGTTCCCAGCAGTGCCCCCACCTGTGCCCAGCAGTGCCCCCACCTGTGCCCAGCAGTGCCCCCACCTGTGCCACTCTGCAGTGCCACCTACCTGTGCCAGAAGTGCCACCTACATGTGCCCAGCAGTGCCACCCACCTGTGCCCACCCACCAGTGCCACCCACCTGTGCCCACCAGTGCCACCCACCTGTGCCCACCCACCAGTGCTGCCCACCAGTGCCACCCTCCAGTGCAGCCCAGCAGTGCTGCCAGTCAGTGCCACCAGTCAGTGCCCAGGGGTTGTGCCAGTCAGTGCCGCCAGTCAGTGCCCAGAAGTGATGCCAGTCAGTGCCGTCTATCAGTACCCATCATCAGTGTCACCTATCAGTGCCGCCTATCAGTGCTGCATATCAGTGCCGCCTATCCGTGACCCCTAATTAGTGCTGTCTATCAGTGCCGCCTATCCGTGCCACCTCATTAGTACTGCCTATCAGTGCCCTTTAGTGCTGCCTATCAGTGCCCATCAGTGCCGCCTATCAGTGCCCATCAGTGCCGCCTCATCAACGCAAATCAGTGAAGGAGAAAAAATACCTGTTTGAAAAATTTTATAAAAGAAACAAATAAACTTTTTTTTTTTTTTTCAAATTTTTTGCACTTTTTTTTAATTTATAGCGCAAAAAGTAAAGCGCCCAGTGGCGATTAAATACCACCAAAAGAAAGCTCTATTTGTGAGGAAAAAATGATCAAAATTTCATATGGGTACAATGTTGCATGACCGCGCAATTGTCAATCAAAGTGCGGCAGCGCTGAAAGCTGAAAATTGGCCTGGTAAGGAAGGGGGTATAAGTGCCTGGTAGGCAAGTGGTTAATTGGTTTGTGAGAAAGTTATAGCATCTACAAAATATGATAGATATATTTAAAAACTGATCAGTTCTGATGTACTGACAGCCTAATTTCGTAATTCGCTAAAGTGCCAGGACAGTACAAACACCCCCAAATGAACCCTTTTTGCAAAGTACACAGTCTGTTATATAGTAAGAGGCATGGCAAGTTTTTGTAAGTTGGATTTTTTTTTACAATTTATTTTACATGTTGTCACCAGTGCAGTACAGCGTCATCATGTGACTGGTGTGACTGATGACAGTAAAAAAAAAAAAACAGGTAATCAGGTACCATGTGATTGTTGTGGGCCAATCATAGTTCTCAACAGTAAGCAAGTTGTTCATGAATGGAAAGCCATTCATGAGAGGTTGTTATGGTTATCAAGTGACTACTATGACTAAACATAGCGATCACATGATACTCAATTACTGGTTACTAGTAACAGTGGTCCACTGTGTCTAGTGGGCACAGCGGCCACAGAAGGGCACTCTGCACACTCCTAAACTGGAGTAGGCACAATCGCGTATATATACATGACTGAGTCTACATATGGCGCTCTGCTGCAGTAAATGTACTGTGGCAGCGCGGCAAGTTATTAAAAAAAAGCATTATATACAGTATATGGCCAACTGGGTGTGAATATCTGATCATCACGCCTATGGCCAAAAGTCTGTAGACCCCCTTCCATATGACTGAGTTAAAAGATAAGTTCTCCTTTTTACAAAAAATAATAAATGCACATTTTTTTGCAGGTAAATAAATGTTCATTTATTAATTTTTGTTTCGAGAGCATTGCACTGCAGATCTGTCAGTATGTACAGGCAACCAGGTATACTGACAGGAAGATTCAATAAACTACCATGGCGCTCCACAGTGCCATGGTAGTTCATTGAGAACCACATGCTGGCAGCTACAAAGGCTGTTGGGACTTGTAGTTCATTCACAGTGAATGAATGATGCAGCCGAGTGGGCAGATCCCTGCACCTCCCAGGGGCGTACTGACAACTCATGGGGCCCCCGGGCAATAGGGGATCATGGGGCCCCTGTGTCCTTGCCCAAACTCAAAAAAGCCTATGAAAAAGGTACCAGGGGCATCTCATGGAGCCCCCTACTGACCCTGGGCCCTGGGCAGTGCCCGAGTTTCCAAATGATCAGTCCGCCCCTGGCACCTCCATTTTTATTGTTAATTGTGACAGCTAGCGAGGAGGAGATGATCCTTCACTAGCTGTCAGAATGGGGAGCAGGGAGGAGTGGGGGCCGGTCCATTCATAACATGTTACAAGTTGCACCCTAAATATGGGTGTAACATGTTATGAAATGTGCTGAACTTATCCTTTAAGGTGTTTCCAGTGAAGGGTATTGTTAATACTACAGAATATGAAGACATTTTAGACCATTATGTGCTTCCAACATTGTGATAACACTTTGGTGAAGGTCCTTTGGTGTTGCAGTATGACTGCAACCCTGTGTATAAAGTCATCTCCATAAAGACGTGGTTTGGTGTTGAGGAACTCAAGTGGCCTGCACAGAGTGCTGACCACAGCCCTACTGGACAGCTTTGGAATAAATTACAATGCTGGTTTTCAGTCAGGTCTTCTCATCCAACATCAGTACCTGACCCCGCAAATGCTCTTTTGGCTGAATGGACACAAATTCATTTAGACACAGCAAAATCTCAAGGGAAGCCTTCCCTGACAGCTCCATAAAGCTACGGTTTGATGTGTTTGGTGTAAAGGAGCTTGAGTGGCCTTCACAAATTCCCACACATTTACTCTAAATCTTTCTAGGAAGGTTTCCCAGAAGATTGGAGGTTGTTATAGCTTCAAAGGAAGGGGAGCACTTCGTATCAGTGCTTAGGGTTTTGGATTGTGATGTCCAACAAGCACATATAGGTGTGATGGTCAGGTTCCCACAAGCGTTTGGCTTTATAGTTATTTGATTTACATTGTAGACTTTCCCCAATTGCAAATACTACTCAGTTTGTGTCCATTTTTTGGCTGGACGTTTTATTTAATGGATCATAAAATAGTCAGCAAAATGAAAAGTGTGGAAATACTTTGGGGAAACTATATTTCAGGACATTCTGAGAACTCTGCAAGATGAAAATGTTACATGATACTATTTACAATTCTGCATTTGTTTCATTCTACGTCCCTCTATAATGCCCTCGGGCTCACTACCACTTTTGCAGCTACTAAGCAGAACAATGCTGATTCATTTGTATAAGACAAACTTAGTTTTTGCAAAGGGAAAGTAGAACAAATCTTGTACATAATGAGGAAGCAACCCCTAGCCTGGATGTTACCAGCCAAACAAAATACATTTGTATCATAATAATTATGGTAATTATAATATTTGATTATGATAATTATATTAGTAAAGGCATTTTTGCTGAAACATGGAAGCTGCCATCGTTGACTGCTCATTCTGAACACACCAGCTGCCTGGCAGTCTTGCCTATCTGCAAATCAAATTCTAAACTCATTATCAGAGTACAGAATGGTAGTATTGGAGTACTGTAAATAGAACTTTGGACTTTACTCTGAGTTTCCATTTGCATACTTCTTCCCAATGACTCAGAGCTTGAAGCCCTTTGCTCAGCATAACAGCCAGGCAATTAGGATTTTTCAGAAAGTGGTCAGCAATAACAACTGCCATATTTCTGTTAGGAAAGGATTTAGTATTGATTTATGTTACCAGTCTAAAGATAGGCAAACTAATTGACTGCCTTCTATTTTGCCTGAACACTGGATAACCTACTGATATTCTTTGTGTTTTCTTTATTCTTAACAGAATGAAACCTGACGTTTAGGTATGGTAATTCTTACATAGTTAATTTGGTCAAGCTTGGGCCAATGTAATTATATATGTTTCATACCTGTGGGATCCCCCCATGGAACCTAGAAATCAGTATAGTGGGTACCATTAATACAGTGATCTTCACAGGATCCAGACACTAGTGGCAATCACTGTAGTAGCGTTGCCTACTACAGCGATCCCATTTTCCAAGGGGATCCCACAGATATGGCACATACATAGGAACATTGGCAGGGGTGTATTTTCCACAAGGCAAACAAGGCATTTGCCTAGGGTGGCATCTTTTAGGGGGGCAGCACTGTCCCTCGGAAGAAGGGACAGAAGAAGGGACACATGTGGCATGGGGACCTGGTGGGTTCCGAGAGAGGCTGTGAGTTTTATGACAGTGTATGCACAGTCTGACTCTCGTTCCCGGGGATGTCCACAGCTGTGAAGGTGAGTGTCTTTTTCTCTCTCGCAGTGGGGGATGGTGACTGGTGTGTATGGGGGCAGTGGTAGTAGAAGGCTGTCTCGGGTGGGGGGCAGGGGTGTTGTTGGTCAATGTCAGGCTCTCTCTGCAGGTGGGGGGGGACCACCGATTTTTATGTTGCCTAGGGCAGCACAAAGCCTAAATACGCCACTGTACACTGGTCCAAGCTGGACCAATGTAACTATGTAAAAATTGCCATACCTGAACTTCACCTTTAAACAAAAATGTGTGTTATGGGTATTCTATGTAGGTTGGGAAGATTACCATTTACTTTCATTCTCCATGAGAGGTCTGCCCAAGTACTAATCACTTGAAGCTATACTCCATGAAAAAAACTAATTTATGGACATTTGCTATGAACAAAATAAATTACCTAGAATGATGGGTGACCTATGTGTGGATGGTGCTGCATTGGTATACTACTGGAAGTAAAAAGCTTATGGCACTGAACAGTGCCTGGGACAAAGTTGTCCAGTGCCCAGGGCAAAGATGCCAACCTTCGCCCCCCTCCCCGCTCACGATGTGTAAGCTTAGGGGATCCTATGCACAGCAGTCCCTCGCTTGTCAAAATCACAACCGCTATCCCTACTCTTGTTGGGCCTTGTAACAGAAGGAAGGTGCCCCCATCCCTACAGTAAACCATTGTGCCCAGGGCAACCATAAATCTATGAAAAAAGAATTTGGGTGACCATTAGAGAGATATCAACATATTCATTAGTTTTCTAATATAGGGTTATGCATAACAGTTTTTTTTAACTTATATATGTCTATAGAGATATAATAAAAAACTATTTTTGTAACAAGCAGGTTTTTTTCTGTGAGTGCTAAATTGAAATCTCTGTATATTCTATTTTCCATAAACTACTTTTTAAATAACTTTGCAACAGGATTAAACTGTGCTTCTTCCATATGAGCGTTGACAGATTGTAATCAGGTATGACTGATGGCAAAGTTTTAACATCGCATCGGTAAAAAAAAAACAGTATAGTAATGACAAACACCATAACTAGATATGGAAATTTTTCTGACTCTGCTCTGCTTTGTATCTAA